GGCTTTTGATTACAACAATACAGTGAGTTCAGCAAAGAGGGGTGACATCTTTAACAGACTCCAACTAAACTGGAAATAGAACAAACAAGTATCTCTATTTTCAAGGTCAGAAAAGTATAACAGCATAATTTTCACCATGATTCCTAAAGTCTTTTTAATCTGAAGAAAAATAATCATTCAAATACAGCTGTTCTTCCACACAGTAATGCTCAATATAGGCATGCCTCTTGGATAGTCTCAGCCACAATACAGCATTTACTATTACTTATTCAGAAGGAACAAATAGGTCAGAGTACACCAGAAGATCTGTTCTGGCTATTACTGGCACAGGCAGACACAAGAGGGGAAAAGGATGTCAGTTCTGAGAAAAGGAGGAATTGACCACATCCAGTTCCTATGTAACCAACTCCTTCTCACAAAAACAACCCGCATAAAATTCAAATTGTTTTCAAGAAGTTTTCCAACATCCCCAAAATATCAGTGCACTCCAGTTCTTTCACCAGCTACTATGAATGAGCCAGACTGAAATAAATAAACCAGAGGTGGTACCATAAAATTTTCTTGCCAAGAAGCATTAAGATCATGTGACGGTGATTATAAAACCCTCAGGAACCACAAGGAAGAAGGATGTTATTGATACAGTGGAAGATACCCAAATAAATAAAAACACACGTTCCTGTTGACTTACAGTGACCTCTCAATTTCTACAGCTTCCTTTTGTTATCGTTGTTTTTGATGACGGTGGTGGTGCTGTGTCATGGTCTGATACTTTCTGTTCCAACGGTTGCCAGAAGAAACACAAAAGATGGAGTTTGGCTGCAGAGTGTGTCTAGCCATCCTGGATGGGGCAAGAACAGCTTCTGTACACAGAGCACGTAGTCATTTACTTGTTTGTATTCTTTACTGTTTCTTGTTTACCTATCAGTTCTTTGTGTCAGCACTGAATCCTCTGTCACTGTTCATGTAAAAGGCTGTAACACTGAAGTATTAAATATTCCCATTAATTAAATGGAAATACAATCCTTTTTTTCCTATACTTTTATGCCACCGTCAGGTATGTAACTTCTCCCCAGTAATCAGAGCTGAGGCAGTAAGTCTGAGACTGTTCATAACACTGAGAGCTGCTGGAAAGTTTTTTAAAATATTATTTAGTACATCTCCTCATTCAAGATGTGTACAATTGCTTAGCAGATCTCCTTACATAATTTTCATTGAGAGAAAAAAAAAAAAGCCTATAATCACTTCATTGAACCTGTAGTTTCCTTTACAGAGTTTCACCCATTTTCCTTTTTGAGAAACTTCTGTCTATTTTATCACTATAGGCTCTTTACTCACAGAATCACAGAATAGTCTGGGTTGGAAGGGACCTCAAGGATCATGAATCTCCAACCCCGCCTGCCACATGCAGGGCTACCAACCTCCACATTTAATATTAGACCAGGTTTCCCAGGGCTCCATCCAATCTGGCCTTGAGCACCTCCAGGGACGGGACATCCACAACCTCTTTGGGCAGCCTGTTGCAGCACATCAACACTCTCATAGTAAAGAACTTCTCCCTGATGTCCAACCTAAATCTTCCCTCCCTCAACCCAAAACCATTTCCCCTTGTCCTGCTCTTATCTACCCTTTCAAAGAGCTGACTCCCCTCCTGTTTGTAGGCTCCCTTTAGGTACTGAATGGCTGCAATGAGGTCACCCCGCAGCCTTCTTTTCTCCAGGCTGAACAAGCCCAGCTCCCTCAGCCTGTGTTCGTAGGGGAGGTGCTCCAGTCCCCTGATTATCTTTGTGGCCCTACTCTGGACCCTCTCTAACAGCTCCCTGTCTTTCTTGTACTGGGAGCTTTGTACTGGGCACAGTACTCCATATGGGGCCTCACAAGAGCAGAGTAGAGAGGGACAATCCCCTCCCTCCTTACTTGTATTTACATGATAAGCTCTTCCCACTGGAGGCACAGCTATTCTTTCTTCTTTCAAGGTAACAACTTTTCTCCTATCAGCCTCCATGCCTGACTTTTGCCAGGAAAAACACTCTTTGGTTCTTGAAAAACTTCTCCCCCAGGTCTTGGCTGCTAATTGCTACAGCTAAGAGTTCCTCATGGGATTTTTCTAAGCAGAGCATGGCTGCTGCAAAGCAGAGTGCATGACAGGAGATTTTTCTCATAAGGAAAAGGGAAGTATATATACATGCAAAGGCTCTGTGGGTAGAAAGTTCAAAGACCGTAGGATTGTTCTGGTATGTCCAGGGGACATGCACTTATAGAACACACACCAATGCAAGGTGTACCCAGCTCCTTCTGGATGTAATCCCATTACACTGAAACATAAAGAGCTGCAAACATACTGTTCAGAAGCACTGAAAAGTAAATAAGATGGACTACACTAACAAATCACCAAAGTATGCCCTCTTGTTCCACATCAGATAACAACGGTGTTCTTGCTAGTTGCTGTAAATCATGAGGTTTTGCAGATAGATATCCCCCAGCTTGAAACTATCTCACAGTATTTGTGCATGTCCTTATTAACTAGCTGCAGAGGGAAATTCTTGAGGTATAAGCCACAGAAAGAGAATTATGTTCTTTTTGATAATTTCCATTTGGAATTGAATTGCTGCTTTAATTAATCCTTTTTTCACCTCAATCCTAAATTGAAATAGGTTAAGTAATCTCCTTACAAATTACTTCATTTAGTATTTCAGCATCCATTACAAGAAAGAAAGATTACCAACATTCTCCATCTTCTCATACTATGCAGAGTGATAAAGAATAACAAATGCATGGTTTACATCTTACTTGCTCAACAACAGTTATCATGCAGATAGTAACTTTTGAGGTTATACAGTTTCTATAGTGACTGTCTCACTAAAATGATCTATTTCTGGAATTCCATCACAGATTAGCAACATGGTTAAAACTGATGTGTTCTGCAATCAGGGCTGGCTTAGCAGTGAACAATGAATGAATTTGTTTTCCCAGGAATATTTTTGGAACAATTACACTATCTTGCAAATGGCAGAAATATACCAAAATATGCATTGATTTACATTTTAATCCTGCTTTACTGGTAAGTATTACTACGTCATCATACAATCCTATAAAATTCTTCTTTAAATGATTACAATTGCATCACACTAAATCTGTCAGCATCCATAAAACTACCTTTCACCCTTACAGTTATGATAGAAAGCATTAGCCTGAGCATTATTGCAGAAATGCTGACAATATCAAAGTATCATATTCTGAGCAAAGGCTGAAGTTTATACTACTAAAAAGTAACCAATGAATCTTTCTCAGTGGGATCGAGAAGCCACCATACTCTCTATGGCTTACAATCCAACAGTCCACCTGAATGCAATCAAATATAAACTCCTGTGTACACATATAACCTGAGACACACACATGAGCAGTGTGTTTCTTGGTCCACTCTAAGATTATTTCCAAAGACATTCATTGGTCAGATTTAGCCCTAATATTCAAATTACAGAATATTTGCTATATATTTGTCACAAATCTTTTTAGGGACCAATGTACAGCCTTTTCACTACTTTCAATGCCAAGACACAGAAACTGGGTAATCAGATTTCTCAAGAACTCTTCTAAAACACTTATTTTCTTCTACAACATTGAAATAAGACATTTACTCACTCTCAGTTTGAATTCTTACTGATTTTCACTGCCTCAGAAATCTCTAGTAGGGCAGCTTCATTTCTATGGATAATTAAGTTGAGTGAAAAATTCTCTGACATTAATTTTCACTTAGTCTAAAGCTTCTACTTAGATCAATTTTCAATATCTTGGTGGGTTGTCTTTTTTTGTTGTTGTTGTTAATTTTGTTTTTGCTTTGTTTTGTAAAATCGGAAAATCATATAACAAAACAAAGGTGTGCTAACTGTTGATACTTGTAAAAAAATTGGAAGAGTGACAATGTAACTGATGTGCCTTACACTACCATTTAAATGATTAAGCTGCTTGCTTTCTGTTCACCTACAGAGAAAAACCCTAAATTCCCCTGAGCCCAGTGCCATTAGTTTTCACCTTTACATTTTCTTCAGTCTAGGTTTTTGGAAACATCTTTGTTTTGAACTGGACTGAGACAATATTGCGCTCTCTGCAATAGAATACTTATTTCAATTCTTTACAAAGATTTTGATTCACAGGTAGAGCCAGTGCACAAGACCATCATTCTTTCTTCTATTTTACCTCTTCTAGGTAATGGACTGAGCATTTTCTCATTTCAGTATGTTGTATGCAAGAAATAACTTTTATAATTCAACAGTTCTTAAAGCATGGAGAGAAGCTTTGTTCAAAAGGCAAGTCATACAGCCTTGCTATGGCTGTGTTAATACTAACAACAAACAAATTTTGTTACCGTACCACGTTGTGGTTTTCTTTGTTTGTTTAGCAGTACATTTCAATAGAAGATACCTATGCAGATACTCACACTCTTAAATAAAATCCAGTCTTTAAGGACTTTCTGATTCAGGACTGCACTTGTTTTCTCTAGTTTACAATGAAGTTCAATTAAATGAATAATGCATACATAGCAGAAGTGAACACAACTGTTGACATTTTTACAGGTAAGCTGATCTAACCTCATATTTACCACTTCTTATATACAGCGTTTTGCTCAGAGTGTCAGTTTTGTGACACCACATATATCGTGATTCCACCTTTCTGTCATGAAACTTTCTTAACACTTAGATTCAACTCTAATTAATAAATGACAGCTACACTGAAACAAATGAAGTTAGTAAAAACACATTTACACTAGGATTTTATACAGAGGCTATGGTCTTACCCTATATATAAAATTTGAGAAGAATTCTAAATGTACTTACCAATTCAATTGTGAGTTGTACATTTAAGGCATAATAAACCAAATATTTGTCGCAAATAAATAAATAAATAAATACCATTTTAAAACTCTTCAACAGAAATATGATGAAAGAGAGGGGAAAGGAAGTTGTGGAAAATCCTGGACAAAATCTCCACTCCCATTAGCTCACCTTTGGCGAGTGATATCTGTCCTGCTGCATCTGGCACAGTTAGGCAGTGTGTATCCAGACCTAAGAAAGTGTTTTCGGGTCCACCACCAGGACAGATCTGACTTTCTGCTTTTTCTCCACAGTCTACTTCTGGCTGCTCATCAGATTGAATCTGTACACAGAAAGTTAAAGGCTGATCACTCTCTTCCATGGCAGAGCTGTTAACGAAGTCAAGCAGAGACTGCCTCTCAGAGTAAACCACTTTGGACGTTAAGGAAGATGATGATTCTTGGGAATTGAAAGTGCTTTCGGGAGAGGAAAGAGAACAAGATGCTTCACTTGACAGAGTTGATGTCAAAGAGGATTTCTGTTGATCCTGCTTTCCAGAAACAAACAAGAAAGAAAAAAGAAAAGAAAGAAATTTTTTTTCCAAGTTGTTATTTTTCCCAGGCTCTACACTTTATAGATATGCAACTGAAATGACAACTAACTAAAAACTAACATAATATGGTTGATTATCCATCTAAACAAGCTTGAAGCAAGGCAACCAATCTCTCACAACTTCAGAAACTAAGTCACAAGGAAACTAGAAATAAAAAATAAAAAAGTTTTGAAGGCCTAAAAACAACAGAGCAAGAAAATAATACCATGTTGAATGCATCCTTTTGTGTCCCATAGCCATTTTCACTGTTTTTTCACAATTTACTTTATTCCATTCACTTTATTCCTCTAATCAAGGGTACAGAAGAAAAATCCTGAATTAGGCATTGAACCATAGAACATAAAGCTGTTTTGAAGTATTCAGTAAATCCATCAACGCCATAACCACAGATAGACAGCACAAGGAATGTTAAAGCAGAATTAAAATGACCTCAGCAACCAAAATCATTTCACCCCATTCATTCTAGGGACTAAATATTTGCCAAGAAAGCTGATAAGTAATGGTGGAAAGAAAAAACAGGCAGCCGTGGAGCAGATGGCATAGAAATTGGAATGGTACAAGATTTGTGCTGCTCATTCATCTGCCAAGATTTATATTTGAGGAAATGAATCTGAAAAGGGATCCAGATTTCACTAGAGATGCATCAAAATTAAACGCATCTTAGGGTTCTTCATATTGTACTCATCACTCTGCCTCACATCTAATGAGGGCTCAGAGACAGCTAACCTACAGGAGCAGTAAATGAGAGGAGGTATAATAGATGCATGATTCCACATCAGGAAAAGTTAGAGAAGAAAAAGTTTTGAGGTTTTGAGAAATATGTAGTTTCCCAAACAAGCAAATATGTCTTTGCTCACAAAGCTTACAAGCTAACAACTCTGTCTACAGTATGCATTTGCATTGACTGATTTGTGCTATAATCTGTTAATGAAAATCAACAAGAACTAGCACTACTCTGCTTTCTAGCTACTAAAAACCATTAGCATATAAGCCAAGTTGGCCATTGCACAATTAACACATGGGCAAGCACATAAATATATGCACAAATTAAATAGAAAATGATCTATTAACAAATAAAACAACTGAAGTAATAAGGAGATAAAGATTCAGATTGCAACCCTTAGTGGAAACCACAAGGAGGTATAATACAAAAGCCAAATATTTCCTATCTGCTACTTTAGAAATTTATTCTTCCTGCAGATGATCCACTACTAGCCAGACTGAGAATCAGAATACAAAACTCAATGGAGAGTTCTATGTTCACCACACATATGCAGAATAAACCTCTTTAAATATTAAAATAGATGATAACTAAACTGATAATTAACAAAATGGTGTTGCTAGGGAAACCCAAACAAGTTGCAAACACAATAAAGGAGCAAGCCTGGAATATCTATCAATAATTCACTGGTAAATTAGAAATGTATTCATATAAAATAAACCAAGAGGGATTTTTTTAATTTTATTTTATTTTTGATTATGCTATAAAAGATTCTGCAATTCATTGTTACAGTAAGGTATACTAATTCCTTTCTACATTAAGAAATGCGAGAGCATTTCCCTGGGTTTCTAGTCTAGTAGTCTCATGTAGCTATTAATCACTTAATAAGATGAGATGACTATGGCTCACCATTTGTTTGTAGCACTTTCTTCATTTCTCTAAATTTTCAAAGTTATTCTTCCAGACTGTTGGAAACTCTGCAGGCCTACATCTTATTTACATCCCTATTACAGTAAATGTAACACTGTGTTTTAGTTGCGTGTTTGATTTTAAAAAGGAATTCTTTGCATACTCACCCTAAAGCAATGGTCAAGAAGGCATTTTCTTGAACTACACGCATGATGTAGTTCAAGATGCCCTTGTTAGCACAAGTGACCTGTTCATCTATCCAAGAGTTCATATTGAAAAAACAAATTGTTGAATCATAGAATCATAGAATTATTCAGTTGGAAAAGACCTTAAAGATCATCAAATCCAACCACAACCTAACAACCCACTGCTTAATCATGTCTCTGAGCACCACATAGAGCACTCATACAGTCAAATAGACTAAAAATTAAAAGCTGCTGTTCATATGGTGTTGATAGCCTGTCTAATTTCAGTTATTTAAAGTCTTAAGAGCAAGATGTTAGATCTCACCTCTATTTTTTCTGGCAATCTTACATTAGAAGAAAAAGAAAGTGATGCTGAAATGAAAACTGCCTCAAAGAATGGAATTTCTTGTTTCTCTTATATATTTTTGTTTTCATTTTCATTTTTTGTTAAATAAAAAAAAAAAAAACTGTGAAAGAATAAAGCAGACTACCACAACGTATTTCCCTTTTTCAACACACATTGTGCATACATGCTTTTCTTGGCATGACAAACGTTTACCTGAGTGACAGAGTCATTCCTTTGGAAGTTTTGTAATCATACATGTCATAATAATGGGGACACTTTCAAAAGTGGATGCCTGAGCTGGCAGATCATAAGGATTCCACTGCAGATCAGTGTGTCTCTAGGCATTTATTTAGAGAAAAAAAAATATCACCATGAAACACCTCAACTGCTATTTTGGAATTGCTGCAATCTATTTACTCAATAGAGCTGCTGATTTCTGAGCCATTCTCATGTGGCGAAATTAACACAGGTGATCAGTTAAGCTTTTGTCCTACAGATGTTTAAACGTATTTGTTCTTCCCTTGCTTTTTTCTTTCACAATACCCACAAAAACGCATAAAACTAGAAAGCTTATAATCACTACTTTTGCTTTTGAAGTTTCAAAACAATTTTATCAGCAGAGAACTGAACAGAAGCTGAAGCTTTTTTCAGGAAGTACAGAGTGTTTACTACTCTAAAACGTAACAGAATCTGCACCTGGGTGGCTGTTCCAGACAAACAGCTTCCAAGCTGGAGTGGATCTCAAGAAGCTTGGATGCCCTTCTATTTCAGACATCATAGATTTGATTTTCCAAAATGTCCATAGCTCCTACTACCTATTTTACAAAATGCCTTTGGCATTTGGAAGGCAGAATTATAACTTAAAAAAAAAAAAAAAAAAAAAAAGGGTATTTAAGATATTTCCAGTCTGAGTTTCCAGCATAGATATGTCTGGCAGTTGCAAATTGGTGCCAGAGCATAGAGCAGAGCAGTGGGAGCTGGAGCTCTTTCCAGTTTCCATTCCTTGGGGTGAAAATTTGACTCATTTGCTGAGGAGATACCAACAGTCATCCATAGGGGTGAGGAGAAGGGAAGTCAGCAGCTAGACTGTACTTCCTCTTGAAGGTCATCTTCAAGCGGAAGGGCGGAGGAAACAGCACCCCTCAAGTACCTGCACTGTTGCCTCCCTCCCACATGTTCCATGCTAAAACATTGAAGGCAGCTCTTAAGAGGAGCATACAGGAGGAAGACAACCAGAGATCACCTCTGCAGCTACAGGCTGACAAGTAGCAGGAAGCCAGAAAAACAGCAAACTGAAAAATAGCACCTGCTTAAAACTCATCATCTGGAAAAATGCCTCTGTTCACTCTGAGGTGAGCAGATGGGAAAGTCATCTACTGTCTTCTGAAGCCGAGCCATTGAGGTATAAATTTCAAGATGCTTCATTATCGGCCTTCAGCCCAGAATAACTCTTGGAGATATATTGTCAAGTTTCCTGTATTCTCCAATATTTATAGCCACTTGGCCACATTTAACTTTCAGTTAATACAGGCAATAAAGAATCCTATTATATAGAGCATCCTCTGAGTGCCAGGTGAACTGTTTTACAGTGATTCATGCAGCACAACTGTTTAAGGAGAGGAAGTGAAGACTGACTTATCTGACAGAAACAGATGGGGCAAATAGATGACAATATGACATAGACACCAAGCTTAGTGTTAGCTATCTAAAGATTGTCAGGTAGTCAGATCTGTGCATTTATTATTGTCCATGTCTGTGCAAACTTCTCCAGCTCATCTACGTTTTTCAGATTTGCTCTTTCTTCACTGCCTACATGACCACCCAAACCAATAGATGTCATTTTAAGGTACCATTGCAAGGTACCAGTGCAAGAATCTCTACTACACCAACAGGGTAGCTACTACATTTTTTGTTCATTGATGAGATGCAATAATCACAGATGCAATAATCACAGAATCACAGATTCTGATCAATAAGATCATTTGGTAACAAGTATATTACTGAATATGCCTAGATTTAACTTTCAGGTGGGAGAGGGAAAGGCTTGAAGTCGGGGTTCTTCATTTCAGCTATATTACCCTCCCAAACTGAATTACTCATGCCCTAATATAGAATTAGGTAAACCTTGTATCTTGAAGAGGTACCTTCATATGAGAAGAAATGAGATCACTTTGAAGAGCATCAATAGTAAGACAAGACTAACAGATCAATAACTGGCTAATAAATAGGAGAAGCACTTGATTACACACACGAGGGTTCATGCTACTTATTCTAATTTATGTTAAAAAGGTAGGTAGCAGTGAATATTCTGGACGTGCTCCACAACAAGGTAGAAAAACAGCATAGATTTTGGGACTACAATTATTTTCTTTTTTCGAATCTCTTTTTCAGAGGTATAGAAGGAAAGAACCGACATAATCCCTGTTAGAAGACACCTCTTGCCTTTCACCTTTCCTCTTTGCCACAAAAACATTTTCAAATTCAGCCTTCTAAAGAACAGTTCATAACAGTTCATAATACAGTTCATAATACATAAATCTGTTGTACAATGCTACCAGCATCACAAAACAAAAGATTTCAAATAGAATTAAGAGATATATATATTGTGAAGACTAGGTTACAGATGCATGTTAAAAACCTCATAAAGAAAAGACACAACACACTTATGAATCAGAGTAACACCTTCCATTCTCAAGCAAAGCAAATATGCTTTCCTCTGAAGGAAGTATTTTTGCCATTGTGAGGCTCTCAGCAGCGTGGGCTACAATACTTGCATGAACCATCACTGGGCAGAGGTGAGAGGAAACAGTGAGTGCATCCATATCTCATAGGCACACAGAGAGAAAGTCTCCAATCTAACTGGTAGCTCACTACCTGGAGAATGATTTGTTTCAATCATCGAGCAAGTAAAAGCTAATTATGGTAATACTTACCATCTGAGGAGGTGGTGGCTGGGCCATGTATGAGGGAGGCAGTGTGTCTGTTATTTCTGGGTCATCATGTTCACTTTCACTATAGCATTCTGAGGCAGACATGGAAAATGAGCAAATACAAAGTGTTAAATCAAATCTTATTTGTTCCTCACAGTGCTGTGCTCACCAAAATTCCCCAAGCAGAATGTTGTGGACTATAAGATGTTAGTGTCTCCTATGCTGAAAACTAACCCACTCTTGATAATGCTCTGCTGCTTCATAGCAACATTTTCTTATTTTTTATTATTTTTTAAATAAACTTGCTATAGTTGACAACACTAGGTGTCGCTGCTCTAGATAGCTTTACTACTAAGAAGTGGTTCTTTTTTCATCCCTTTGCAGCCTTTGCTTTCATTTAAGAAATGCTACACCATCTGTGACAGAACTTGCAGAGACCTGTTGCATGTAGCAGATGCTGCCTCTTAATCTCTGTAACCAGTAAATTCTCCTGGAGCTGGCAACCAGCATTGGAGTTTTGGCTACAATTCTGGAAAAAATAGATTGCTCACATTATGCTTTGGAAATCATAAGACACACTCAGGAGACCTTGGTCACCACAGAGTAACTTGGCATACCACATGGCACAGTGGCACAGTTGCAGAGCTAGCAATAAAAGTAGACACAATACTCTCAGACTATGCATACCATAGGAAAAAACAAACAAACAAAACCCAAGCTGACAGAGACCCAGAATCTCTTGAGAGGTGGCAGAGAGGCAGTCATATTATTCAATTACATGTGTAACAGAGGGAGGTGTCTTCCAACACTTCTCAGCTACTTTTTAACAGTGGATTACATGAAGTGCTAATCATAAGATGAGACACACTCAAGAAGGGGAGGTCACAAGTTAGGCATTCTATTCCTAAGGCCTGGCTGTAACCACTGAAAAAGATCACTTCCCTCTGTGAAATCTCCCAGCACACACTAGCCATTCAGACCCATAATATTATCCAATCAGATTTAATTACTGTATCTTCTAATTTAATTATTGTTGGCATGCATGTAATTTTAGGGTTATAATAACCATAATGTGAGGGGAAAAAATAAGTTGTGAGAGAAAAAAATATACATATACACTGGAGAGAAGTTTCTAAAATGTTAACAAAATGAAACTTTCTCTCAGTACTGCTTGGAGAACCATAGGATTTTTAACAGCAAGTATGTAGTTTTGTTTACTGAAAGTATGTGCTGGAACATCTTAGCATCAAGGACTGAGAATGGCTACAATAAAGCCCATATGAAATTCTAAGGCTCTGTGAATGATGTATTCTTGAGGAACCCTTGGTAACAGCTGTTTCTGATACTCTAAAGAGCATCGCAAAGAGTTACAGTGTGTGACAGAGGGAATAATCAGGTTGCTGGGAGCAGAAAAGTGGCTGTGTGTAACAGCAGCGCCTCTGCATGGGTGCATTCACACAAATATGTCTGTGGGTTTCTGAAACCCTCTCATGACAGATCCTGGAGCATCTGTGACAAAACATCTGTCACATTTTGCTTCTATTAATATTTTTTGTCTCTCTTATTTTAAGTCAGGTTTAATGACTCTCAACTCAGTCAATACAGCTCAAAAGATCAGTGGGCCCCTTTCGGTGATACTGTATCTCACCAGTGTTTCTAAAGCTCCTCTGCTCCTCTGTGTGTCAGTGTGTCAGTGGGCTCTGTCGCCAGACAGACTCAAGGTGACAGTTAAAGAAAAGATCTGACAAAGATTTGGCCCAACAAAAACTGTGAAGGATATCATCTGGTCAGACACAAAAACTATTATTAGGAACATACCTTCTTCGCTCTTCCCATTGGGTGCCTGAGGATCTACAGCAATCCCCAGCTTGCTTAGCCACCTGTGTTTGAAGCAGGGAGGACATATTATTAGCAATATTTACATGCTATTTTGACTATTTCTCTCCTTTCAACATGTATATTCATTAACCCAAAGTCTGAATGTTAGTTTCCTTCTATATTTCAGTATTTCCTAGGAAAACACCTATGACCTGATTACCAACATTCCCATTCCTTTTAACAACTGTGTAGGATTAAGTTGCCAATAGAAGGAGAAATGCACTGAGCATCTCACAGGCCCACCTTGTATTATGTAATAGACTACCAAGAACTTTCTTTTTCTATATATGGATTTCTGTCAATCAAATACTATAGCAAGCTGTGTAGTTCTGTTTTACAGCCCTTGTGCCCTTCTCAGATTGGACCTGATGAACAGGACTAGTTGCCTGGGGCATTTTTTCCTCCTCACGTTGAGAAAAAGCTACTGATGACCAAAAAGCTGCATTTCTGGAAGCTAAAGGAAAACAATCAGTGTTATAATAGAATATCAGTGTCTTATTATCTTTCATCCAAGGTGATGCAAAAGGCAAAGGAGCCATAGAAGATGATGTCAGCTGCCCTTGACAATACCCTTTGTGCACTGTGTTTGCTTTTAAGTCATTTGGAACTATCCACGTTTTAAGAATTAAAAAGTCTTTCAGATTAAACTCAAGGCCTAGATAGGGAATGTAAGAAGGACAGCAATTAAAATTCATAACTTGGAGAAAATATGGTGCTGGATCTTGATTATACTGAAGTACTGGAATATTGAAAACATTTCTGGTTAGAATAATGTAATTGGGTTTTTAGACTGTCATATAAACAATTGAGCTGCATAAAAATTTCAGAAAGAAATGTGCAATCTCTGTAAAAATGGATCAATTACTTTCTTTTAACAGAAAATTTTTAACAGAATATTTGTTTTGGTTTTTTTTTTAATCTAAACAAAATAAAAATGCTGCTAATACAAGATTGCAATAAGAGCAAAGTAAGACAGACCACTAGTAATCATGTGCATTTAACCAGTTAATATCTAAGAGAACAAATTTGCTTTTCATATTTGCATTACTATGACAAATAAATGCTGAATTAATGAAGTAAACTTCTAAATTAATAAACGCACTGTGTCTTAATAGATATATATGCACGGAGAGTTGCAAAAGGTCATGATCTACCAAGTATTTACGTACACAAGTAACTCAACATACAGGAATGCCCCAACAACTTCAGTGGAACCACTCACATACATATGTATGCATGGGAATGGAGCCAAGCGAACAGATGTCTTTTGGTCTGTTTTGACATATGCGTGAGTATGCATGTACTTTATGTATTAAATCCATGTATTTTATACTTTGCCAAGGAAAACATCATCAGTTACAACAGTAAAGAATTAGGAGTAGTACAGTATAGTACAAGCTGCTCCAGTGCTAGGCTACTTAGCTTTCAGCCAATATGAAATTTACTCTAGAAGTGGAGTTTGAAGAAAATCATTCTGGGGCATAAGAGAGGAGACACCTGCGTAGATTTCAATCACTCACTTACATGAGACTAAACATTTCCAAAATGTCATTAAGACACTGACAATTTCCAGCTGGGCTCCAAACTAGCTGTTAATGTTCAGATGTCCTCCATTAGCTCTCTTTTTTTCCTCCCTACATCCATCCTTCTCTCAGTCAGTCAGTTTCTCTCCAGAAGTATTTCTGGCCATTTTCAGTCTTCCTCACTCCCTTTCCCCTCAACTGTGTTGAGGAACTCTGGTAAGAAATGCAGCCATACAGAAATAAATAATCATTTCCCCAACTGCAAGTTCTAGGCTTCTCCAAGTTGCAAAGGGCAACAGATTCTTACATCTATATTTACATGTATCTATACAGTCCAGATTTATAAATAGATGTGTACAGTTCTTTTCTGTCTCTGAAGTTGAAGGTCTCACATATTCTCTCAACATTTTTTCTTTCCATTGCGCTGAAGAGCTATGAGGTCTCTAGGATGAAAAGTCAACTCTTTATGAAGAATCTCACAAAGGTCACCAGTACAGCCAAGATTAAAATCTGGCCCTATCTATCTGTCTTCCTATTTCAACTATACTGATTTTTTGGCCATTTAATGAAAAAGCACTGTGAACAGAATATGTTCTGAAGTAATAAATACAAAGAAGATATAAGATGCATACAAATCAGTCCAATCTGGATCAATTGCAAGGAATATCCAATTCTAATAACTCAATAGTTCCTATTAGGTACCCATTTTTACTGCTCTCATTAAAAAAAACAAAAAACAAAAAAACAAAAAAACAAAAAAAAAACACCAGCATGACTGAATTGTTGTTCCTATAGACATTTGTGGAAAGAAAATGCCTAATCTGGCATAACTGCAACATAGTTTGGCAGTGAAGTAAATGTTTAGTTAAAATAAAAAAACAGTTATTTATATCTTTCTAACTATCCCTGTTAACTGGCATGCTATTTTGAAAGCAAACAGTATTATATTCAAGCACTAGTTCATTTCTGGAGCAAAGCTAAGTACATTTTTTCCTCTCCTTCTTCTCTTCCCTGGCTTCTTCCAAGATGAACTTGCTAGAAAACCTTTGCACCTCTTTAGTGGAAAGGAATTCCTTCAAATATTTGCAGTCTAGTAACAAAATTATACTAATTATTAGATACTGGTTTCAACTCTATTAGTAAACAAATAGTTGTATATTCCTTCTATTTAGTGATGTGGAAAAAAAATGTATACTTAGTAATATCCTGAAGAATTTCATCAACCACTGCTCAACTTTCAAAGTGTTTTCAGATGCGAGACAGGATGAAACAGGGCCAGTCACTCTCTACTCACGTGTTCATTTCCAGAACATTTTCTGCTGCAAAATAAAATGTCTTGATCTGTGGGTGGCTGATCTTAATAGCACTTGAAGGAAAAAAAAAAAAAAAAAAGAGAGAGAGAGATGAGGAAAACTTCTTTACATAAGAAAAAGTAGCTGAATGAATGATTTTAATATTTTAAATATTTATTCATTCCACTATATTAATCCAGACCAGCTTATCCATTCATACAGTTTCCTTAAAATTCAAGATTATTTTTAGCTCATTTCCTAGTCCACATAATATTCAGTATGAAATGTATGAATAAAAAATGAATAAATAAGGAATAAAACAAAGGCTTTCATTATGCCACTCCATACTTCCATTGTGTACCAATATCTTGAAAATATGTATTCCAACTCAAAAATAAACAAACTTGAAAAAAGTTCAGAAAAAGTGCCAAGGATAACCTAAGATACAGAATATATTTTGTGCGTGACTAATCAAGCTAAGAACCCACAACATATAGAACTAATGGTAAAAAGAAGGGAGATATGATACAATAATGACACTCATGGCATACAGCAGTTAAACAGGAACTGACGCTTTGCTGTTTTTTTCCATTATATGTTGTAGGAGTCACCAAAGAGGCAATTAGGTGGAAGATTTGAAAAAATTAAAATGGAGGTAGTGACTTGGATCTTTCTCCTATGAATGCTGTTAAATCAACCTTAATGAATTCAACCTCGTGGAAATTACCAAAGGTTATAAATACATGAACCCACTTCTGACTCAGGAAGATTCCAATTGGTAAATTGTTTGGAGAATGGAGGAGCATTTTAAGGAAATGGCACTATAAGTTTTCTCGTTTCCTTTAATCTTTGCTAGGCACCAGCTTTGGGCCAATTCAGAAGGCAAGATATCAAGTTGGACTGCTTTGGTCTGATCCAGTGTGCTCGTTCTTAAAGCTCCCTTGATAAGAAAGCACCAGCTCAGAAAAAAAAAAAAAAAAAAAAAAAAAAAAAAAAAAAAAAAAACATTTTTACCTTAAATGTTGACCAACATATACCTCTTATATATTGGTCTAACATATTGTATTTTGATGCTGACTTCTTCAAGAAAAGAAGAAAGGAAAAGGAAATTTACTCCTGATATCAACTTCTCTGTAGTTCACCAGCTACTGAACATACTTAGAAGAATACCTTGGCAGTCATAATAGACGTGTTAGGGGGAATAAATTAAATAAATAAACTTTAAAAAGGAGGATTGATTTCCTTTAGGAATCAAGATTCCTACAACCCAGGAACTCAACCCTTAGTCCCTGTATCTTTTTGCCACAACACTCAAGCTTCTACTGAAGTGCAAGAGCGGTTCTCTTGAGTGAAAGACAATAGGATCCACAGTGATAGGGATGCCTTAAGCAACTGACAGTTAATATAATCAATTATATATTGCAGCACACAAAACTAGTGATCTCCAACTCCCTATTGCATCCACATGAAAGAAAGAAAGAAAGAAAGAAAGAAAGAAAGAAAGAAAGAAAGAAAGAAAGAAAGAAAGAAAGAAAGAAAGTCATCAACAATGTAGCAGAGAATGGCAGAGAATGATGAGGGATGGTGAAAAAAGAGCTAGCCAACTGAAACATTTTAGCAGTGTAAAATGAAAGAAAAATCTTCAACATTTCTTATTTTCACTGGCACATTTCCAGCAGGGCATGATCTGTTCTGACCATATATAATGTCTCTTAAACCAAAACTGCTTGTGAATTACATGTGCCATACCCATTTGTAACACTCATTTGTCTCAGCATCAGACCATGCTTTAGTTGAATATCCATCAGTACGACCTTCCAGAGTCATCTTTTCTTGTAAAACATTGTCTCTGGCTCTGAGACTGCATAGTTTTCTTATGTTCCTTGCGACATGACACTCTCCTGTGGAAGTACACACTGTTTGACAGGGCCCCAGCTGACCAAGAAACCCAGTCCTCACAATCCTCTCCTAAATTACTCCATACCCAGAAAGCAACAAACGTATTTTCATCTCGGTCACGGAGAGCCAGCAGCTACAGAAGCGAAGGAAAACAGTTTGTTTTGGTCCTGTGTTTTATGATTCAACCATCTTCCTTCTGACAAAAAAAATGGAGCTCCTGGTATTTAAAATTGTTGACTCCTTTCCTTGGGAGACTCCTTTAATGTCAGGAACACATACAACTCAGCAGAGCATATGACCAGAACAAAAAAAGGCTTTAGACAGCAGCAACACTCCTCCAGACTCTTGAAGTGTACTCATAAGTAGCTGGAAGTCAATGTTGCACATGGAGTTTGGAGGGAATATTTTTAGTTGCGTTCACTGCTAAACAAAGTTTTCATTTTCTGCACAAACTGAGACTTTAAGTACAGTCCAAAGTTGTACCACAGCAGTCTCACAAATAGCCTGCACTGAAATGTAAGCATCATTATTTGAATCACTTTTGAACTCTCCACTCAACAGAAGGCATCTACGACAGATTGTCATTTATTCATGAGCAGTGAACAAAGAAGAAGAAAACAATAATAATAGTAATAATAAATTGGCATACTGTTTTACTTTTTAATTGCAGTTTTAGTAGAGCACATCTGCCAGAGAATTTTCAAAAATGTATTTGTTATATGTGTTGGGTTTTTTTCAGCAAAACATTCAACATCTCATTATTTATACAACACAGAAAAGCTCCCCACAGTTTCATTGTCACGCTGAAATACTGAAATACTGAAATACAGTACTTTGCACCAATGTGAAAAACCAGGCAAAACTAGTACTAAGAGGTAAACTTACTGCTTTTTTTTGCACTCCGTTGCTCTGTCCACACTGAAGTCTGGAAGTCTGATAAAACCTTCTGCTTTTTCAGCCTGCAGTAAATAAACAAATAAAGACAGATCAACCAATTGGTAAACTACCAGACACCAATGTTTAATGTTATTTAACATGCAAGTGCTTCTTTTTAGCTTTTTTAGCTTTTTTTATATTATAAAAATACGTTCTTATCACCATGGGGATACATTAACGCCCTATGTTTTAGCTGATATTTGAGGAAAAGAGCTGTTCCTACACCAGCTACCCTTCGTGCAAGTCCTGCGTACTGTAAAACCACCACTCCTGTCTGCATAAGAGTGTGAGAATAGGATTTGTTGTACAGCTCCAAATATCAAATAATCTGAAGAAGAAAGAATCTTCAACTCATATAACAATTCTAAGATAGATCGGCCCACTTCCAGACTACAGGGTATTTTTCGTTTGTTATAGAGCACCCTTAGGTAAGACGTGTGATTATGCTGTAAGTCTAGCATCTGAAACTGCAATGGGCAAAATCTAGGTTTTGATCAAACCAGGACCAAAAGCAACAGTTAGAGGAACCCAAATCCTTTGCAGCAATTCATAATCACACAATATGGTTCAACAAAAAAACCAGCCAAGCATTGTGAATATATGGAAAATGAAACAGTAACATCTCTGTTACCACCTGTCAGCTAGACTCTGTCAGAGCAGTATTGGCAATCCTGAAGCTATTTGTAGGCCTCAAATCCATGTTCCTGCTGCCTACAGCTGAAATATCCTCTTTGACTACATCTATCTACATTCACCTAATCAGCCACAAGAGACAGACTGCTCCTAAGAGGGGCAATTACATAGACAAAATTCTGCAGCATATAGTGATATTAAACAAACAAACAAACAAACAGCAACAAAAAAAAGCACATTTTAAAATACAGAAAGCATTCGCTCCTAAATCAATTCTTTACTACTCCCAGCCTTTATTCTTGGCCACATTACAATTCTGAAAATGTACACTGAGTTAACAGAGATAAAATATACACAACAATTACAAAGACAGAGGATAAATGGAGATGACTGACAGCAACTGAAGTTAGACTATGCATGAATACGAAAAGACTATAAAAAGATGTTCATCAAGACAAGTCTTTGATTTTTAACTCTTCAAAGTATAAATCGCTAAAAAGATTTACCGTAAGGTAAATCAAAATATAACAATCATTCATCTAGTTTACATGCATTAAATATTCATAACAGATTTATATTTTACATCTTCACCAGTAAATGGCTTAGCTTGCATCAGGGTAAACAGACACTCATGGGGAGAATAAGTCCACACACTGTATAAGTATTTATACAAGAATTAGAGTGTTCAGATTATGTATCGGGCCATTAAATCAGCTGCACTGAGTGACTCAGTGTGGGGAGACATCTGGGGTGCTCCCATTCATGCAGAGATGGGACTTTAATTTCAATCACTGGCACATTAAACGAGCATCTGATTTAGAAGAATACTCTCTTAGATTTTTCATGGGAATAGACATGCAGGCTTTGATTTCATTTACCAGTATTACTACAGAGAACTCTCCATTCTTATGTAGCATCTAGCATGTTCCAGTGGCAAAAAATAGACGACGTTCAATGCATCACATTTTGGCTTTCTGTTAATTCTACCCATGATTTCACATTTATTTATAAGAAAATTTTCATGTTTCATTTTATATATGAGAGAAAGAAAGATAACAGCATGAATTGTAGGAACCATTTTTATTTCACTACTGGTTGCACCTCAGTTGTGCCTAGGTGTTTGACATAGCTCCATTGTTATCAGACAAAAGGAAGGAGAGGAAAAAAAATGGATATAAGTGTCATGGGTTTTTTTTTTTCTTGTGTGTATTACAGTCAGAAAATAAAATTTCTAATAAACATTAGGAAATCTTCTTCTTGATCAACTTTGGGATAAACATAACATTTTAAAACACTGAAAGTGCAGAGAATATTTACTTTTATCCAACATTTATCTTTAACGTGATTTTAAGTATGCTGTATTTAACTCACACATTTCAGTCAAGATTCCTTAGGATTTTATTTCCTGGCTGTAAGAAAAACCTAAAAGTCCAGATTAAAATAAAATTGACCTGTTTGCTATTCCATCAGGATTTTAAAAAGAATAAGCTGTTACATGTTTTGTTGTTGTTGTTTGTTTTTTACACATTTGCTTCAAATACAAAGCTAGACTTTTTGCTGTGCTACACTGTAGAAAGCAAAATTTCTGCAATAAAAACTGCCTTTGTAAATTCTTGGGACAGAAAGAGGAAAAAATTCACACTTTTTCAGTACTTTAAAAAAAAATAATAATTATATTAATGAAACATAATGAAGGAACCCAATGAAAAAAGCAAAAGATATTTTTAGTTTGCTTCTAAATATATTGTATGCATTTTTGTTTATTTATGAGGTTTGGTAAATCATCTAATAGATCTTATTCAATATTTGAAGTGAATGTAAAGATGCAAAATCTTTTAAAAAATAAATAGTGCTGAAAAGTGAAACTCCCTAATTATTGCAGAACAGCTCTGATCTGCAATTCAAGGTAATCCTGGTGGTTTCAGCAGATTGTTTCAGCACTGACCACAGAAGACCTCGTGGTTGTTGGAGGAATAGTTCAGTCCTCAACATATTCAGTTTTTTAATTCTCTGCCAAGTGAGACAATCTACAAAGCTGTGAATAATTTGTGTAATATATTGGATCAGAGGTCCACTAAGCTCTCAGCACTATCTGCTGACATCAATGGCTTTATATCATGCATGCAAGCAGTTACTGTGACTCAAAGGTGAAAGGTTCCTGTTTTTAAAGATCGCAATTATACAGTTCCTGGCAAAGCTCTGTGAGTGGGGACCAATTTAAACTCAGTGAATGCAGAGAGAAAAACAAAGAGGAGTAGTGACAGCAGATCACAGCCTGCAACCCTTTGATTTCATATTTATATTTCTTTTCAGTTGTATCCCCATGACAACCATCATTAACACATCTTGCAAAACTATGTTCACCCTCAACTGGAAAACGAGCCAAGTTGTCCTAGAAGCACATGCAGCAGAGGAGTTTGGTCTTCTGTTCCTTTCCAGCCAGCATTATTCAGGTAGCTGCAACAAGCACAAGATCAGCCAGGAATACAGGATTTTACTGGCTAAATTTCACCCTTCATCCCTTTCCATATGCAGAAGTACTGATTCCTTCAAGGTTTTCAGTATGAGTCAACAGTTGAAGAACTAAAACCACAGAAGTGTGGACAGGATCACACATCATTCTTTTCATTCTTTTTAAACCCATTTCCAAGACATATTACTATGGAGAGCAGTAGTGAAAAAAGGGAAGCAAACACTAAGAAAGCATCTCTCCAAGGAGTCTGGTTTTCCTGAATGCATCCAGAAAGTCTGACTGCTCAAATTCATTTTCTGATGTTTTTCTATATCTCCCTTGCAAATTGAGCCCTTCCTTGTTTTCTCCTACACCATACAGCTTTCCTTGCCTAGACTGTGGGAATATCCACACTGCAAATAAATGACAGTATGGGCTTATCTATCTCATATGATATCTGTGCATCATAAAAAGATCAAGTTTGTGTGGGAACATGTTTCAGAGCAGTCTACCCAGCTCTGCTGAGCCTGCAGATGCCCTAACTTCATGAATCTCAATACTTCAGATAGAGACTGAAAAGGCCGTTTGGATTTTTCTATGCTCTGTTTTCCTTTCAGTAGATTAGAAGTTGACCCCAGTGTCTGATTTCTGGCCTTTCTCAGCATTTTATTATTTGGGCTGTGGCCTTTTTTTTTTTTTTTTTTTTTTTTTTTTTTTTTGTTATGTTATTCTGAAAGAGCTACTGTCAGCAAATGTCACCCAAAGTGTCCTATATTGACTCCACCACTCTGCCTAATATGGAAGATCCAGAACCAGTGTGAACCTAAGGCAGATTTAATCCAGGCAATATAAACTTCAAGAGTTTCAGAGATTGCCTCAAGACAGACTTCACCAAGAACATGATGTCAGCTGAGGTTATCCACCCAAATCTGCGATAGCACGCATTCAGTTAAAAATTCCACCCACTCCTTATTTTCTCCAACTCCATCAGGGAAAAAAAAAAAGGTTAGGTCCAGCACCCTGTTGCTATGCTACAGTTGCTAGTGTCTAGTTGACTGCAGTTTCTGCACAGGCACTAACAAAATATTCCTGTTTCTCACAGGAACAAAACTGGCCAGCAGAGCTCCGAGCAGTCAGCATAACCCAGTTCACTTGACCTCAGCCCCGTCCTCCATCACTGCCTTTCACTTCAGACTGAGAGGCCCACCATGGGAAGTCTCTAGTGTGTGAGAAGCAGGGATCCTTCTTCAGCACACCCAGGTGTGCTGTGTTGGTTACCCTGCTGTGACCAAGGATTAGCTCCACAGAAGCTGAAGGTATGAAATGCAGGCCAGGTACAGAAGTAAAAAGAAATAACAAGCAAGCCAGTGAGAATGTCACATTATTTTTCCTTCATAATTCTGGAGGGAAAATATTTCTGAAAATACAGTGTGTCAAATTCATCTGTCAAATTCATTTCTGTAATTCTGTGATCTCAGATGTAACTCCTGCAGTGGTACTAAGCATGGTTCTGGTCTCATCAATTTAAGCAAGGATATTTTAGCAAAGTACACCTCCCTTACTTTCAGCACCCTACAGTTACTGTGATTCTGCAAATGTTGCCTGAATCTAAATTTATGCAGAGGCTGTACTTTAACTTGTCCTTTAGATTTTTAACATAAAATAGTGTGCAAGAGTCAGCAGAAGTTGAAAGCAAAGAGGTACTACCAGCTAGCACGCTTCCAAGAAGTACTGTGATAGGTGAGAAGCCAGAAGTACTTTGTAGCTGTGTGAGCTTTTCAGAGTGAATGTAACTGCCTGAAATGAGGCTGTCACCTGCTCTTCAACCTTGTTTATTTTAGGGCAGTCACTGCCAGCAGGGAAAGAGGCATGGACTAAAAGAATGAGTTCACTTAAGTGTCAAATGCAGCCTTGGAGCATTGGGGTCTGCACAATCCTGGCTTCTCTGTATCCTGAGAGAATTTTATTAAATGAAAAGGAAGAAGAGAACTTTGTACTCTCCTCTTATCACCTTTCTCCTCCAAAACAGAATATTTGCCATATATTGTCTCATCATTTTATTTATTCCCATCTTGATTACTCCTCAGAATCATTTCTATCCAGTCCAACACTTCTCACATCTAACAGGCCTACCAGTCAGCCAGCTCACCTTTCTGTTACAATTGCACTTGGGCTTGAAAGCAAGCTCAGACTACCAAACACCACACAAAAAAAACCAACCCACAACCAGTAGAGTTGCTTTCACTTTACTACAAAAAAGAATACCTCATATCAATTTTAAATGCTATTTATTTTTTTTAAATGTCTGTTAAAATTTTTATCATGATAAAGTTGCAGCTAAAGGGAAAATAGGAAATACTCTTCATCAGACAAAAGATTTTTTTTTCTATTTTACTTATACCTTGACTGAGATATGTTGCGAGATGGGGATTATTGCAATAGGAATAAACTTGTGGAAAAACCCATGCAGCGTTTCACTTGTTAAAATGCTCTAGGATTAATGCCGGTGTCTTTAATCTTTCATCCTTTGTAAAATGAGGGACATCCTCATTTTCAGCATAGCCTTTTTGCATTTAAGAAATCTGAAGACCGTTCATAATCCTGCACTGAATCTTCTCATTTTCAACCAGTGATGTTAGCATCCTCCTAACGTTGTGCACACTTCAGTTCTGGGCTCTGCCAGCCCATCCTTAGAATATGATCGGAGATTTTTTAGAAGTAACAGTGCAGATAGTGAAATGAATAACAATAATTGAATCTTCCTAGGACACACAAGACACCATATCTGCTCAGGAAAGCTGAGCTATAGCAAACAGCCTGGAATAAAATCAGCTAATCCCTAGACCTCCTGGATCTTACTCAGCTATAACTTTCCATTGAAAAAGCATCTGAAATGCATGTGAAACACATCTGCAGAGTGCCCTGAGTGCTTCAGCCAGGCACAGAACACAGCCATCTACAGAAGGGACTCCAGAGTTACTCTGAGTTTCTCACTGTGATTTTTTTTCCCCCTTTTAGTTTTTAATTCCTAGTTTCTTTAATTGATCACATAAATTCAGGGTCTATTGTTCTTTGTCTCAGACTATTTTCCACTCACACTGTAAGTGGAGTAGGCTGTTCGGGCTGTGTTAACAGGAAGAGAAATGCTATCTATGCAAGTTGTCCTGAGAAAAGTTCATCCCTTGAATCAAAAGATGGACCTTTTGCTCAAAATACTGTTTCTTCTTGTACATTTGACTTTTAGCATTGACTCATTAGAGCAGGATGTTAAAAAGCAACAGAACATGAGAGCCTTTAATTACACTGTTCCAAATGAGACATCAGTCAGATGAGATGTAAAGTCACTACAAAGTGCCAGTGCAAATACCTGCAACCCTACTACCTCAAATAGAGAAACAAACAAATAAAAAGCAATAACAAACAAACAAAAAAGGCAAGCAAAAAATAAAACAACAAATAGACAAATGAATCTTGCATGGAAGCAAATGCAGAAAGAAGCAGGAGATAGACTTCTGAAAATCAAGCTAGCTAGAAGTCAGGAAACATTCCTGCTCTGAGTCTTGGTAGCAAGTGTCTACAAACTGCATGACCCAGGAAAATCTCTCCAGATTCAAATGCAAGCAGTTCCTGCAAAGATTAGTTCTTCAAAGAGCAGAGCAAGCTGTAAATTAACAGCTCTCAAGTACTCACTGTACTAGAAAATGCAGTTTTCTAAAAGTTTCATATTTATATAGACACTTCCTAGATGCCAAGCCTGAGAAACGAAGTATTTAAATTGTGACCCCAGCACCCCTAGTCTTGGTCCCTGCAGATGCCTTGTGTCCATCCTCAGAGCTGGGTAGACACAGTACTCACCAGTTGACTGCTGTACCAATACAGCGATGACTCCTTCAGGACACACCAGAACTTTTTCCATTTGTTACCAATGAAAGCTCCTTTTTCCTTCTTTTTGTAGAGCCATCCTTGGCAATCAGCTTGCCCCAGTTCTTTACACGATATCCTCCGTCGACTCATTATAAAGAACCCTGTGCCAGTAAAAATGCATTATTATGTTTGTTTAAAAGTAAATTACCAGGAAAAATGCTGCTGACAATTAAAGATACTAGCTTTATTTAGTGATCTTAGCAAGTCATCCAAGCATATCTTAAAATATTCTTAGAAGTCGTTCTGTTTTGTAACAGCTGTGACAGTGATACACATGCATTTGAAAAGGCATTCTGATATGCATTAAAAAAAATAGCAAGCCATAGATAATGCAGATACTAATTAATGTTAAGGTAACCATGCACAAGTTTTTGTAAATTATATATATACCCCTTGATCCTTTTAAGAGAAACATGCATGCATTCCTCTTCACGCAGCTGTGCTGAAAAGCAATATATCTATTTAAGTCAGGAGAGAAAACTATTATGCCAAGTACATGAAAACCGCTGGTGTGTGTGCATGCATCTGCCTGGTTCTACCTTGTCAATTTCCAGCTTTGAATCAATTAACATACCACAAGGATTTCGTCCAAAAAACCAGCATGCTGTCATTTTTCTTTTCTTTTTTTTTTTTTCCAGAATTGGTTCAAGAAACAGTAGTTAAAAAGCAGCCTTCTACCAGCCGAACAGCAGTATAAAATCCTCACCCTCCCAAGATCAAGACATACTAAGAAAATAACAAAAGAGGAAGAGAATAGAAAAAAAAATCTCTAATTACCTTGACTTTTCTTTTTTGCCTTCTGACGCAAGGGAACCTGTAAGAAATGCAGGAAGGAAAGAAAAGAGGAAATATCAGATTGTGTTGCAACATTTGTCTAGAAAGGGGAGGGGGATGCTAGAGAAGGATGTGGTGGTGATGCTGGTGGTGCGTGCAGGATGGAAATACATAACTCGCTTGCTGCTGAGGGGATGTTAGTAGCTGAAGCAGAAAATGTGTTAATTAGAATTGATGTATGTGTAGTTGAACAAGAGCAAGTGTAACTCTATTATACATGTGTCTGTCTGCTAATGCTTCCTGCTTCACACCCACAGGCAGCTTCTTTGCTATGTTCTTGTCTGAACTGCATTCTATGCAAAGTTAAAAAATAAGAGTTAGGACTCCAGCATTTTAATGCTACTAGGAGGGGAATTTACAAATATGCGGTGATAAAAAAAATACATGTCCAAGTTTGATCATCCTTTAGTATATTCTAAGCAGTCCTGAAAAAGAAAATCATTTTTTACTCCTCTTTACTTTGTCATATATATTTTTTAGTACAAAGACTGTATTTCTCCATACACTACTTTCAAAATTTCAAAAAAAAAAAAAAGAAAATATATCATACGAGTTTGGCAGATTATCCAAAACACAATGCGTAAATACACCAGGGTCTTGCCATACCATACAAGAAAATATTACTCATTGCAAAAATAACATAATTGAATTGCATTTACTCATTTGTAGTGTACAGAAAATGAAATTAAAACAGAAGACCAGAGACTGAGAAAGAGGTTATCAGAAATCTAGGATCTGGGTTTTAGAGCAAGTCCCCTACAAGCAAACTGGCTGACTATAGACAAAGCACTTCTCTTGATTTCAACCTTTCCATCTCCAGCATGGAAACAAAAACATTCACACTGTTTATTTTTTCAGAAAGGTTTTGAAACCTCCAGATGAACGCTAGATAAGGTGATGCACGGTTTAATATGCTCGGCCACAACGTTGCTATGCAAAGCTGGTAACTACCTGATCCGCTGCAGAGCTACGCTAGGAACATTCCTAATGCAGTCTCCCAGAGCTAACAAGCAGCCTTAGAGCAAACAAAAGCCTTTTTCATACTATTCTTGAAGGATTTGATAGCTCTTCTCACAGGTGAATTAAAAATGAGTAAAGCTACAGCATCCGGAAACAATATCGCAAGAAACCACTGGTATCAGTACTTACAAGAGCTGGAGTGTTCTCTAACCAGTTATCCTTGCAGCATATATTAGAGAGCAGAACTGCATATCGCAAAGTCTTGTGCTTATCTGGTGCTTATTTGAGATGACCTGAAGCTTAACCAGGAATGAATAATCTCAGATTCCTGTTTAATCATCATATATTCTTCTCCCAGCTTGCCTATTTTTTTCTTAATTCTACCATGATCTCTCAGTCTCTCCAACTTCTCCATGACAACAGATGAAGAAAAGCAGCGAGAAAACACATCAGTTGTATTGGAACCTCCATTATTTTCCCATCCTATATGGGCCAACTTTCATACCTTCAATTCAAAAAAAGTAATGCTTTATTTTAGGGCCCATGGAAATAACACGTATTCTCAGTGAATCAGTAGATCATGTAGTCACACTAATCACTAATTCCTTTAGTGTGACCAAAGTGGCATTAAGGAAAGCAAATAAGAATTAATTATCTTTAAGCAAAAGCTACAAAGCAGAGTGATATTGCACCTCTGCCAATACACTACAGAGGGGTCAGTTCATCTTTAACCAACATGAAATTGTACAGTGGTAAGAGAAACCCTGACACAGGATGTGGCTCTCTATAAGCAGCTGAGGAAGAAATAGGTCTTTCCGCTAGCATTATTGATGATCTAACACAACATAGCCTGACCTATGGATCATTCATAAAGAGAAGGTTAACATTCATATTACCTAAATCTCTGCTAGGGTCTGCTTTATATACAGGGCGAGGAGGAAAATGATTACCCAGTAAGAGATTGGAATAGCAAAAAAAAAAAAAAAAAGAATTCACACATCTATTGCATTTATTATTCAATTGTGATGATTGTTTCCTCCTGGCAGTTGACAGGGGGTAATAGATTTCCATTTCTTTATATTTCACTGGAGGAACTGGGAGAATAATCAGAGGAGGAAGGGCTATTTCTCCAGACAGCATTACATTTAGTTTGCCTGCACAAGATCAGTGACAAATCCATAATAAAATCATTACTCAGTGAAATTTCATGAATTAAATTCAATTTATCCTTTTCTTCACAGGATTCCTGAAAGAAAGCATAAATTTTTAACAAATTAATCCAAATATAGGACTTCAACAACTTTATGACATTTCTAGTTCTGCCCAGAAGGTCAAAGTCATCTAAAAAAATATATCTGTCATTCTTCAGAAGTGGAATTTCTAGTTGCAGAGTGCAACAAAGGAATAGGCAATGAAGTCCAGTATTGTTCATCCAAACTTCCATCTTAAATTTTGTAGATCTTTAAAAAAAAAAAAAATAAATCTCATTCTCAATTGCACCAGTGCTTTTAAATAAATAATACTTTATGAAATTAAAAAAAAAAAAATAGAACAAAAATTAAAAATGAGAATGTTATCTTAAGCAATCAGAAAAGATCTATATTTGCATTAATCTACCATAAGATTCATGTAATGCTTCTCCAGTTGGATTCAGTTTTCCACAAGAACATCAACACATCTGCAGCTGACAATCTTTTCCTCAAAATGTTCCCCCTCTGAAAATTGGCCTACGAGAGTTGAAAATCTTTTCAGTGAATCCTGGTGAATAGTGGTTAAGAGATACATTTAAGTTTCAGTCCCAGCAAGAGATAGCACCAATTTGGAACAAAGTGTGGAATACAGTTACCAGTAAAACCAATACTACCAATAAGGGGCATAGAAGCAGTTTCAGAAGCAAACATACTTTGACTTCCAGACACACATACTTACTGGAACAACTTTAACTGAACCAAATGTCATGACTTCACCACTGTTCTGACAAAAATTGATGTTTCCCTGTAAAGCTCAATTTCCTGATGGCAAAAAATATTCACTATCACAGGGTGAGCAGGACAAAACAGAAATAAGAAAAAAATCTATTTCTATCTGCAGAACATGTCTGAAAACAATAATCCTCATACAGGTGTGAAATAAATGCAAAATATTAGAGTTAATGTAACTTTAATTGTAATTTTTATGCAGGGCTGTCAATACCGGGTATCTTTATTTATTTATTTATTTTTCTCCTTTGTAGGTTTGGGATTGTTCAACTGTTTAGTAATATCCAAAGGCTGGAACAAAATAGGATACTGATGCTGCATGAAAATACAGGCTTTAAGCTCACTGCCCGTTGCTTCTTCACTTGGCAAATACACCCATGGGCCAGCTGCAAAAAAAACTGAGTTTTGTTCTCAACCAGTTCTGTGCCAGGTTGGCTCCATCAATAAGCAAAAAATGTACAAGAGAAGTGATATCTGAAATGAGAGATTTTGCCTGTTTAGAGATCCTATATTTGATTTGAAACATCAAAATATTTGAAGTATGTAGCACCTCTGTCACGTATTCCTAGCCCAAATAGGAGGTCTTGAGAAATTACCCCTGCTAATGAAGGGCAGCATCCCTCTGGGAAACTGCCAAGAAGCAGTCAGCTCTTGCCCTGGTGATGCTTCTTCTTGGAGACTGTGTGGCTCCAGCTTGCAAATGCTCCAGAAGAAAGCAGTGGAGTGAAATTGGTGCATGAAGCTGTTTGTGGGGAAAAGAAAAGTTTGTTCAATAAGCAAAAGCAGGAACATTGCTCTAATATCAAAGACCAGGCTTCGTGTCTCCTGAAGTTCAAGTCATGAATTATGAGTCTGAGAAGATAAAAAAGGCTATGATCAACAGCTTATCTTCTACAGAGCTATACTTTCCTAAAACCTCATTGGTCCTACAGATGTGTGTCTAAGAAAAATCACTTTCTAAGCTCATGTGCACTAAGTTATTGTTTCCTCATTCTTTAAAGGGTAGGATTTGGAAGATAAGGCTTCAGGCCTATGCAACAGACTCCGTTTCATCTGAAGGGTAGAACTGGAACAGCCTGTGACAATTTCACCACTTGACTTGGCCCATTAGCAAGATACCATTCAAATATTGATGTTCTGTGACCTCTTTTCAACTGATCAGTAACTGGCATCACTTCAGATATACTTACAGGGGCATTCCCATCAGCTTCCATGAACGGTTTCAAAGTTTAGAGAGAAAGCTGTAAAAAGAGAAGGTTTGTTTACTTTAGTTCCTCATTATAATTTCATCTAATATTAGTCTTGGCAACAGAGTGAAAAAAGGTTTAATGTGATTTGTCTTGCCAACTTCATCCTTCCTTATTCTCTCACTCTCTCAAAAATAGATCTTTCCTTAAGGTAACATTATGTTATGTGAAATAATTTTACTGATATAGAAGTTAACTATCAATAAGAACCACTAAATATTATCCAAGTTTTTCTATTCAATAAATATACTAAAACTCGTCAATACGGTTTGATGGGAGCTGGTTTTTGTTAGTTTGTTTGTTTTCAGAGCCTTTTGATTGGTTGGTTAGGATGTTTTTTTAGGAAATGAATAGAAAATAAGTAAATCTTGGAGTGTTTTTCACCCCTTTCCCAATGTGACAGATATCAATAGAATTTTTATTTCCACTTCAGCTGAGTTATTCTGTCTTTTCTGAGAATTTTAATCAATTAGTCTGCCCTCTTTCCTGAATGCAAAGGATTTAAGAGTTCACTAATTTATAACAACTTGTAGCTTTCCAATCTGGAGAGCAAAATCTGTGTAGTCCAGTAGCATATGCTAGGGGTTTTATTCCGAGGATAAAAAGGTAACATGTAGCTTTGTGTATACAATTTCATATAGTACATTGATTACAATCAATAGTCTATTCCCTACATTATTTTCCTTATGTTGGTAAAATGATTATATAACAAAAGAATCTGTGTGGCAGAAATAAAGAAAAACATGCCAACTTCTTTGTTGCAAGCAAAGTTCCTATAAAACTCATCTCTCTGTGTATGAAAGAATCATTCAATGAAAAAGGAGAGAGTAGAAGACTTTGCTGAGGTGAGCAAGAAGGGATTTCAAGAAATAGAGACACTTCAGAAGAATTTCTAACAAGAACATTTTCCTGTTATTAAAACAAAAAATTTAAGATATGTGCTATTCCTCCTACATAATAATTGTTTTATTTTGAAAATAAAATATTGGGAAATAAAAACCCACCTACTGGCTTCCAGCAGTGTCAAAGCAAAAATAGAAATACAAGCAAATTCACATTTTTTCTGACTCTCAGCTTCTTGTATTCAAAAATAGAAGGACACACTTTCTAAAAGTGGCTCAAAATAATGTGTTATGAAGATGAGGAAGGATTTTATAGCAAATAATTTCAAGGATGTTTAGAAATAATGGCTATTATAAACAAGCAGAGGAAACACCTTTACTTATACAAGCAAATTAACATCAATATCAAATGCTGTGCCAAAAAGTAATGGAATAACAGACCAAATTGTACTAATCATTGTGACGTGGCCTTTTTTCCTGTCAATTCTTCATTTCATGTATGCTTTGAGGTTTTAGAGGTGAGGAGAGTGTGTGTAATTACACAAACTGCACAAATTTGAATCTGCCACTATACAAGAAATGAGAGGAGAAGCATTAGTTAATTGGCAAGGAAATGTTTCCGCCTGTGTGACTTGTGCCAAAAGAGTTGCAATGGCTTCCAGCAGGTCTTTCTCAGTGACTTTAACTCAAACTTTTGTTTGGTTTCCAGAAACCAGCTAAGCAGTCTTTGAGCCAACATCCAGATTTCAAAAGCAGTATTGACTTCTGTCTCGTCCTAAGTAAGCATAAAATTTATTATTCCCTGTGTACGGAAAGGTGTAAAAATATGTTCACTAAAGACTGGCTCTCATACAGATAACCCAAACTTATTTCCCTTAAACAAACCTATTCTGAGTGAGATAAGTTACACTGTGAAATAACATTAAGATTTTTATACTTACTCATGTTACTCAACTGCTGCCAAATCAATACTTAGGAAGGGCATGCCTTGTTTATCTCTGCACTATGGTAAAGTGCTTCATTTCAATTCTTCACAGCTGCTCTATGGGAGAAGCACCTATCCTTTCTGAATAGATGAATGGATTTAGAGAAGGAGTTGGATAAATAGAGCCACTAAAGAAGAGCTAGGCTATATCCACCCTACTGGATGGCCCACCATGAACCTAGTAGGGCTGTCTCTAGCAGTGGTAGTCCACCACCAAAATTCCCTCCCACACACTACAGTTAGGATCTCCTGCTGAGCCATGTCCATTCCATGCCTATGGTCTGAGGTGGTCACACCATTCCTCAGGCTTCACAGTAGTCCAGGAGCATGCCAGTATTTGGTGGTTTTGATGTTAAAAGGGCTTTCCATAGCACTAAAGCTACATCTTATCCCAGAAATTTAACAAGCCAGCAGGAGACAAGGACTGATTTTACACCACAGGGAGTCTGTCCTGATTCCTAACTGGAAAAGATGCAACAGCAGAACAAGTGGTCTGGACATCCCCATTTTATAGCACTCATTAAAGACTACTGATAAGCACGTGCATATCTTTGCCCTGACTTAGGCAGACATTAAATCTGCAGTGGGGTATCACCTGAAAAAGGGTACCCTAACCACCAAGGTGAGGATGTGGTGTTCCAGTCCTCCCCTCAAGACTCCAGGATTGCAGTCAGCTGTGGTGGATGCTGATGGAAAATAAAGCAAGTCAGAAAGAGAGAGAAAATAAAACTAAACACAGTAGAAGTTCTTCCACTTCAAGGGGCTTTATAATGGAGAGAACAAACCTTCATCTCCCACATCCCACAGGATAAAAGGTAACTAATCTACTGGATTACATCCAAATAGGATGGTTTTACATTATCAGTTTGTAAACCTACGTTTATTTAGCTTTATTTAGAGGTGTCATTTAATTTCTGTCTGAATTGAATAAATTATGCCAAAAGCAGTTTCAGGTAGAAGATTTCCAATTCAATTTTCCGAGGGTTTTTTGTTTTGATTCAACAGCTGAACTATAAATATCAGATTGCATTTCTTTATTTGTTGGTACAGCTTCACTCCTGCGCTTTCAAGAGTAGTAAACAAGTAGGTACATCAGAAATAGATGTTGCAATGAATGTGGAAACACAGTAAGTGACTTAACAGAAATATCTTGCAATCATTTCCATTTGACTGCATCATCTATTCTGAAATAAATAGAAATATCTCTGCTAAAGATCAAAGGCAAAGTTAAGTGGGGAAAAAGAATGAGAAAAAAAGAGTTTGAAAAATAACCCACTGAATTTCCAATGATTGTCATTTGGGGAAAAAAAAAAAAAAGCTATCTTAATCCATTAGTAATACTCCTCTTGTGGAAGTTAAAATCTACGTGGCCTGACACTGTCTTATTATGATGACATTGCAGTAAATCTGCCAGACATGCCTTCCAAGCATCCCTCAGATGACATCCAGTGCAGGCATATGCTTTTCCGTCTTTGAGCAAAATATTTGAGATACTCAGTATGAGTCAAACTATTTGTATTGTAGAAGCACCCAATATGTGCATAGCTCAGTTTCTATTCAGATGGCATTGACACAAACTATTTAGAAAAATTCTGTTTTTTCCAAGCACCAAGTCATGGTCATAAGAAAATCTGGAAAATAAATGTTTTGCCTTCCATTTCTCCCATTGGTCACTATCTTTAACATATCTGCTAGCTTTCTGTTTGACTGCCTACCACAATCTGCACTTCAATGGGCAATGAATTGACAGGCAATATGATATTAGCAATAGCACTACAAAAATATGCCTAGAAAATCAATGATTACTTAATCACTGATTCACTCAGAAGCATTAGGAATAACATTGCCTCAAATTAATTATAGCAGTGCTCGAAGCACTGTCCTGTGTCAAGGAGACAGCCTTATATAATAGTCCTAAATTATCACGTTACTTCTAACTGAGGTTGTTGTAACAATGCAGGGGAAAAGTTATCACAATGATTAGTAATTGCCCTGAGGGTTACTAGAGATCAATTTAATCTGTCAGAACCTTATCATTAGCTACTAATTAATCAGATCTAGTCAGTTACTTAACTGGTTAATTAAAGGTCTAAATCAACTGTCCTACTTGCACAATCGATTTGTGATCTGCAGATTTTTTTCATTTCCCAGCTCACGAGGAAAGTCAGGTATTGAACTGGTGACGTGCAATAGGGCAAACAGGAAATGAGGTACATTACACAAAAGTTCATGGACAGTGCCACCTCAGCTGAGTCTCCATTACTCCATATTTCCAAATGTAGATGAAACTACATCTTTGGTATTAAAAAGAACAAGTCTGTTAAAGCATACTTATTAAAAAATAAGTCATGATTGTCAGAGAATACTTCCAGCATTGACCACAGTGGATAAATTTAAGCATATTAAGGAAAAATTAACCTCGGAAAAGCTGCATAATCTCTTATAGCAGGCCAAGCAGCAAGGAAATCCATCTGCCACATTATAACAGTATCAGTTATAATATTATTTTTAAAGGTATTTGGAAATGATTCACTCCCCCCACCTGCAAGCAATTCAAAAAGATAACTTCTGGCTCTGTTTGGGTGAGAGCCAGGATAAACTGGAACAAAGTTCACTGCTCCTGCCTCTGAGACAAAGAGGGTTTCGGGACATTGACCTGATGGGATGGTGGCCAGCCCTGGTCAGCTCGGCCAGGGAGCCAAGAGTCAGTGGTGGGGGACAGACACTGACAGCTCCAAGAAAGCAGCTGCCTTCTAAAGGAAAGTGGCTGGGAAGAAAGACAAGTTTCAATAGAAGAGAGGAGCTCTAGATGCCTGTGGGGCCTCCCAGATGAAAAAAAAAAAAAGAGAATGCAGAAATTAGCAAAGCATTTCTGCCCCAAACATGAATTTGCATGCAGACTCCTTACAACATTGAGCTGATTCCTAGTGCTGTTCTGCTCTTGGAAAGTCATGCAAATCCCAAACAAAAACAAAGGCAGAAGAGAGTGCATCATTCTGTTCTCTGTTTTTCAGATCAGCCATTCAAGCAAACACAGTTTTGATGGAACATGGCAAGGTCCAACACCTAAAGAGCAAAAAGAGGGATGTCTCCTCAACATAAAGGACCAGAACTACATTAATGCTAAATGTGAATGGTGGCAGTGGCAGTAACCTGAGCAATCCTCA